ATTCCTCGGGGCACTTACAACCCAACTCAGTTTATATTTATTACACAATATAGCTCACTTTAAATCCTTAAATGGTTTCAATCAACAAGGTCCCTTTTCATGCATATTTCCAACATACAAGTAATCATAAACCTACAATAGGCCTAAAGCCCTTCCATCATAGTATATCATGCATTTCTTGTACATTTACAACATTTAACTTACATATTATAACTTACAACTTCAACTTCAAATTACAACTTATAAATATTACAACTTTAATTACAAATCGAAACATAAGCTTAAATGACACAAACTACTAGACTTAGGCAAAACGACATGAACAAATATGCCAATGAACTCATCCTACATACATATGAGATGTTCATGCCCTAAGTCTAGTCTAGGCCATATGGCCAACAAAATGCAAAATGGTAAAGGTGCTCCCACTAGTCATTAGCCCGCCGCTCCACTGCCACTGCTACCTCCTGAAATAGTGCCCCAAGACGGGGTTAGATATACGGATATATCTCAGTAACCAAGAGGTTCTGGAGAAAACTCCGCCCAATGGTTCACTTCGATGCATATAAATAATATAAAACAACCACTTTCAAAACGGGATATAGCAAGGGATTTAGATAAACTGGGGAATATCGGGATATAAAATATGACGAAGCTGGAATGGTAGCTACCAATACCACGCAACGTCCTCGGCATATAAGCCTACGGGTCTCATCCAAGGCGTGTTCCAAGAACCACAACCAAGGTACCCCTTCCATCCATATACACCCGAAACTTCCTAGTGTGCTCCTACCCGGATGACACACCATGACCCTAGGTCAACTGGAACTCCCTCTCGAAGACCTATCCAGTGGAAGTCCGCACTGCCCGAAGGCTACACTGTCTACTGGCCAGACACTCGGTACATAAGTACCCTCATAAATACTATATGCATGCTCATGCTGTTCTACACTACTCATATACATTTCCTACCAATACCATCAACTAGCATGGTGGAACACACAAGGGGAACAAGCCCCAGTACCAAGAGGTTACCTTAATCTGTTCCTCCACTTAGCTCCACAGCAGTTTATTTCCCAAACTTGTTACTCAACAGAATGCCTACACAGAGGACATTCCCAATTACTCAAAATTCACACAACACATGTTAATTCATAATTATACATGCATTGATCCAATCACTTACCTCAATCCACTTGGTCCAGGACCAAGGGCAATCCACCGATTCACAGTTCGGGATTCAAATCGACGTACGGCAACCTACATAACCATGTACAACCATCAGTATACGTCAATTCCATCAAAACGCGAAAAACGTCAAAATCACTCCCCTCCCCTTGAAAGGTTCGGCCAAACAAGGCAAATTTTCAATTTTATTTTTCTAAATTTTCTTTCTCATTTTATTACACATCCTTAGGTTGCCGAGACGCTAATTCAAGTGTCGTTTTTCCGTTTTATGTCTTTTAAGCATTGTTTTGCTAAATAATTCACTCTAGGTTCTTTTATGTCCCTAAATACAATTTATTATTTTCCATTGATTCTACCACTTTCTAACCACCACACAACCCATTTTAATACCATTCAACACTTGATATATCATCCAATCAACACAAACAACCTCAACTCCCTAATGCTCCTTTTATGGCCGAATTACACACTTGGAATTTCCAAAGAATTCTCACTCAATTTTCATCATTCCACACCTCTTATAACACCATTATATTAACATATAATCATCTAACAACTCACCAATAACATCTTAAAACATTTTTCCAAAAATCCAAGTCATGACACTTCAAAAATATTCTAAGTTACAAAATCACATTTTTCACCTAAAATTTTCATTGCATCTATATTTAATACACATTATTCTAAGACACTTTTATGTACAAACTTTTCCCAATTGAGCTCTCTAACATCACACATCAAAAAATCAAGGTTTAGGGTTCATGAATATCAACTACAATCAAACCATGTAAATGGGATGGAAATATACTCACAACCAAGGCTTGATGCTACCCCAAGACTCCTCCAAGCAATGGAAGCTCAAATGACTCCATGAACCTCCATTTTTTACCAAAATTTGAATATTAAAATGGCTTGGATCTCCCCTAATACACGGTTTCAAGGCTCAAGAGTGGTACCAATGTGTTTTATAAGGTGTTTTCCATCAAGATTCAAGACAAAAATCGATGGATTCGGTGGAGAAACGGCTAAGTTGTGATCAAATGAAATTTTGGATGCAAATGGTGACGGAGGGGCTGTATGGTGCGGCCAAGGAGAGAGAAAGGAGTGACGGTGATGAGTGAATAGTGATGGGTGAGGTGGCTTAAGTGGAGTTTAAGTGGGGTGGGTCCCACGCCACCTCACGCGATTTAAAACTCGTCCGAACTTTCACTAAACGTCCGTAAATTCAAAACCTATTTAGAAAATTTAATTTTTAACATTAAATATTCTCCTTGAATTATACTTGATCAGATAAATCCGGAGTTTTCCGGTCGTTCGGAGAAAACACTGTTTTAAGCTGTTGCGCGCGCCGTTGGCACGCTTCCCCAAACTGACTTAATTCCATCAAATATTATCAGAAATCATATTCCCTAGTTCTATAGACCATTTATAACTCATATTTGACACCTAGAGCTCAAAACTCAATTGGCACGTTTTACGGTGCAATCGTACCGCAGTATTTTGACCCGGTAAAAACATTATTCACTGATTTTTCTGAAACTTGCCTATCCACTCAATTTTTTGTTCTGAATCCATTTCCAGGATTATTTTTATCATCTGAGACCTTCTACTCAATTTTTATCTTCCTAGGGTTGCGTGTTGGCTAATTACTGTTTTGCCCTTTCTTTATCTTTTGGCCTAATCTTTAGGATTTTCACTAATCCTTCACTTAATTACTCATTTAATATTTTGATATAGCATCGAGCCAATGACTCTATTAGAAAGATCACCTTCACTAGCAGAAAGCGGGCAAACTTAGTCACAATAACCTAGATGGAATTACATCTAGTTCGTGTCTTCGACAATCCAAGAATAAAGTCTCAGATCACATCCTCATGTTAAACTTGTTTCCTTGAGGTATTTTTCTCCTAACTACTAAAACCCCATACACGCTTTAATCCGTGCAAATTCATATTAGACCTCCCCAATGGGAATAAACATATCCTCATATACTCGCTTACACCGTTTCCAATAATATCCTTTTGAAGTCGCAGCATGAATTTACGGACGAGCTTCATACGTAATTTGTATTAAATTGTGTGATTAATTGGATGAAAAAGAGGTTAATGTCTTGGAAGTCCCTCAAGTGTAAGTTCTGAAAGCTTTGTTGAAAATCTACACTGTCTTGTATGGAAATGAAGCTCAAGGAGCAGCAGACAAAAGAAGAAGATTCTGGAGAAAGGGAAAATGCTTAAGTGTTGAGCGCTAAAACGTCCACACAAACCGTTTTAGCGCGCTGCTACAATTTGAAGGCAAAAGTTGCTGGTGCCGAGCGCTAAAACGTCCAACACAGAACGCTTGTTGGACGTTTTAGCGCGCTGCTTCAACTAAGGACGAAAGTTGCTGGTCTTAGGAGCTAAAACTCCCTGACCAAACGTTTTAGCGCCCTGCTGCTGCAAAAAGACTCTGGTCTCGAATGCTAAAACTTCCAAGCCAAGCGTTTTAGCGTTGGAGTTGGTTGGAAGCAGTTGAGCATTCACCAGACATGGACGCTAAAACGTTCAACAGCTCACGTTTTAGCGCCCAAGTTAGTTGAAAGCAGTTGGACATTCGTCAGACATGGACGCTAAAACACCCATATAGAACGTTTTAGCGCCCATGTTAGTTTTCAGTTGTAATTTATAACACTATAAAAGGCAAGGGCCTTCACATTTCTGAAAAAATCCACCACATCTCTCTCTCATATATCAGATCCTCTGATCTGACTTCTCTCTCTTACTTTCAAAATTCTTAGGAGTACTGTTGTATTAGTTAGTGTTTCATATGTAATTGCACTTGAAGATTGATGACTTACTATCATGACAATGGAGTTTGATCTTTCTTCTTCCTTTGTTTGTATCTCAATTATGTCTGAGTAGAGTCCTTTGTAGTCTGATTCAATGGAACTCAAGTTTGAATTTATGAATGGTTAATTAGATGTTTTGTTTATCTATTATGTGATTGTATGAAGTTGTCTTGATTAATTCTTCATGTTGATAAATAGTGTAGAACAGACATGTTTACATTATTTCTCTATTTTTGACAACTTCATCATTAGTGTTCTAGTAGTCAAGACATTGATGCTAGGATTCTGATGTGGTCTTAAGACCTTAGTGATTAATGCATGTATTAAGATAGGAATCACCAAGACATTGGGGTTTCTGATTAATGTATCTATCAGGGTAGTAAGACATTACATCTTGAGATGATAAGAAAAAGGTTGATCAACATCATATAGTAGATAATTCATAATGGAAATTGGTTCATCCATAAATTCATGCTTGAGAGAAATTGACATTTGACTACTTGTTAAGTTATATTCACATCTTATTGTTTATCAATTCTTTAATTTATGCAATTTCAATTTCGAGTGACAAGAAATCAATGCAATTCAGAATTTTTCGGTTGATTCAACTTAGTAACATTTGGTTAGTTAGTGCTTGACACAAATCCTCGTGGGAATGATCTTTACTCATCATTTTATTACTTGTTTGACTAGTGCACTTGCTAAATTTGACAACACGTTTTTGGCGTCGTTGCCGGGGATTTGTATTTCAACATTGACAGATACCATTGGTTGTTGAGATTGAATCTTTTATTTTTTTCAGCACTTTATATTTTTTGTATGAATTTTAGTTCTCTTGTAATTCTGGTGTATGCGAGGTACTATTGATCAAAACTCTTTGTTGTTTGACGCGGAATTAGAAAGGACAATCAGAAGGAACAAGAGGGCAGCCAGAAGAAGGAAATTACAAGAAAGGGGTGAACCAAGTATTACAGTACAGAAAGAGATCATGGCAGAAAATCATGTGCAACCACCACAGAGGACACTGGGAGATTACATGACTCCTGCTGTCATTCCACCCATTGGACGTGTGGTTCGACCTACAGTAGAGCCCAATAATTTCGAATTGAAGCCTGCATTAGTACAGTTGGTGCAGAAAGAACAGTTTGTTGGAACAAGTGCAGAGGATCCATACCTGCATATTGAGAACTTTTTGCTGTTAAGTGACACTGTGAAAATCAATGGAGTGACCAAAGATGCCATTCTGTTGAGGCTCTTTACTCATTCACTGAAGGATAATGCCAGGAGATGGCTATAGTCATTACCACAAGGGAGCATTACAACTTGGGATGATCTGCAAACCAAGTTCTTGGCCAGATTCTTTTCAGCATCCAAGAGGGAAAAGTTGAAGGATGAGATCACAGGATTAAAGCAAAAAGAGTTAGAGTCTATCTATGACGCCTGGGAGAGGTTCAAGACACTCTTGAGGAAATGTCCACAACATGAAATAGAAGTGTGGAATCAAGCAGCAATATTCCTCCAAGGGTTGACAACCAACACCAGGACATTGGTGAATGCCACAGCAGGTGGTTCATTGACAACCAAGACCCCTCAGGAAGCCCTTGGCATCTTTGAGTCTCTAGCATCTCAGGAGTTTGACAATGCTTCGATGAGTGATAGAAGGACAGGAATTATTAAACTTGATGGCTATGATGCTTTATTAGCCAAGAATGAATAGTTGCAGCAAGTTCACAAACAACAACAACAACTAGATACTCTCACCAAGCAGCTTTCTTCTGAGAAGGTTGCTTCTGTGGACACTAATTCTGTGTGTGCCATTTGTGGGAAAAGCCATGTTACTGATGATTGTGACTATGGAGGGTCTGCTGAACAAGCAGAAGTTAATGGAGTGTGTTATGACCATAACAACCAGAGGAATTACAACAACCAAGGGCGAAATGTCTATGTGCCACCATGGAAGAACAAGAATCAACACCCAGGGTTCAGTTACAGTTCCAACCATCAGTTGAATCCTCCACTACATCCTCCACCACCACATTCATCACAGCAAGGTGATGCTTCTGCATGGGAGAAAGCTTTTGCCCAGTTATCAAAGACTACTCAAGATTACATTCAGGGGTCAAATTCTTTCAGGGAAGAAACTTTTGCTTTCATGCAAGAGACCAAGACTGCATTCAGAAACCAGGAAGCATCTATCCAGAATTTGGAAACACAAATTAGCCAGTTTTCTAGACAGATAGCTGAGAGGCCACATGGCAAGTTCCCTGGTGAATCCAAAGGAGCATTGCAAGTCCATAATAACAAGAAGTGGGCTTGTGCTTCAACCGGTGAACAAGAAAGTGGATGAGAAGAAAGTGGAAGAAAGAAAAGTGAGGAGGAAGTTGTTGTTGAGGATGTTGTAGTTGAAAATAAAGATAAAAAAGAGAAAGTTGAGGAAAAGGAGAAAGAAGAAGAGGTAGTGGTTGACAAGAGTTCTTCACCCCAGAAGTTGATGAAGTGGGAGAAGAAGAAGATGGCTGACAAGCAGGACCAGCCAATCAACCTATCTCTATATGCTAAAGTGCCTTACCCTCAATGATTGAAGCAGGAAATCCAGAAGCAGCACTATGCAAGGTTTCTAGATATTTTCAAGAAGTTACAGATTAACATTCCATTTGCTGAGGCCTTGGAGAATATGCCTCACTATTCCAAGTTCATGAAAGATCTTCTGTCTAAGAAGAGGAAATTGAAGGATGGTGAGACAGTGGCCTTAACAGAAGAGTGTAGTGCCCTGATCCAGAAGAAGCTTCCACCAAAATTAAAAGATCCAGGAAGTTTCAGCATCCCTATTGCCATTGGAGATGTGGAAGTAGGGAAGGCACTCTGTGACTTGGGGGCCAGCATTAACTTGATGCCATTGACTGTATGTAGAGCTTTGGGAATCAACACCTTGAAGGATACCAATCTTATTCTGCATCTTGCAAACAGATCCATCGAGAGACCGGAAGGTGTGGTTGAAGATGTTCTGGTTAAGGTGGATAAGTTCATTTTTCCAGTGGACTTTGTGATTCTAGATATGGAGGAAGAAGATACTGAAAGCCCTCTACTTCTAGGGAGGCCATTCTTAGCAACTGCTAGATCCCTGATTGATGTTGAACAAGGGAAGCTAATGCTAAGGGTGAATGAAGAGACAGTTACAATTGATGTGTTTGAAGCCATTAAACATCCTGTTGATGTGGAGGATTGTGTCAGGATAGATATCATACAGGAGGTTGTGGAGGAAGTTAAAGGAGAAGAGGACCTGTTGTTAGAGGAAGATAAAAGTAAGGATGAAATGAGTGGGGAATTTTATCAGGAGGAACCAGTAGTTGAAGAGCTTGAAAAGAAGGTGGATGACATTCCTAAGGGAGCACCTAAGGTGGAACTGAAAGAACTACCTTCTAATCTGAAGTATGTGTTCCTTGGGGATGATCAAACATACCCAGCCGTTATAAATGCATTCTTGTCTGAAGGGGAGGAAGTGAAATTGGTTAAGGTACTCAAGAAGAACAAGACAGCCATGGGCTGGTCATTTTCAGATCTTAAGGGTATCAACCCTTCCTTCTGCACTCACAAGATATTGATGGAGGAAGAAGTCAAACCAGTAAGGCAACCACAAAGAAGACTTAATCCCACTCTGAAGGAGGTAGTAAGGAAAGAGGTGGTGAAGTTGCTTGATGCTGGGATGATTTATCCTTTTTCAGATAGTGCATGGGTGAGTCCAGTTAAGACAGTGCCCAAGAAAGGAGGGATGACTGTGGTTAGGAATGAGAACAATGAATTGATCCCTACAAGAACAGTCACTGGCTGGAGGATGTGTGTTGACTACAGGAGACTCAATAAAGCAACCAGGAAGGACCATTTCCCTATTCCATTCCTGGACCAGATGCTGGAAAGATTGGCGGGACATGCTTTCTACTGTTTTCTGGATGGATACTCGGGCTACAACCAGATAGTTGTGGCTCCGGAAGATCAGGAGAAGACTGCATTCACTTGCCCCTATGGAATCTTTGCATACTGGAAGAAGCCTTTTGGCCTATGCAATGCACCAACAACTTTTCAAAGGTGCATGCTTGCCATATTCTCTGACATGGTAGAAAGGTGTATTGAGATTTTCATGGATAAATTTTCTGTGTTTGGTCCTACTTTTGATGCATATTTAGAAAACTTGGACAATGTTTTGAAAAGATGCCAAGATTGCAATCTTGTGCTAAATTGGGAGAAATGTCACTTCATGGTGACAGAGGGTATTGTTTTGGGGCACAAAGTGTCCAACAGAGGGATTGAAGTAGATAAGGCCAAGATCTCTGTTATTGAGAAACTACCCCATCCCATAAATGTTAAAGGCGTGAGGAGTTTTCTAGGACATACTGGGATTTACCGTCGTTTTATTAAAGATTTTCGAAAATTGCAAAACCATTGTGCAAGCTGTTAGGAAAAGATCAAGAATTTCTGTTTACTGATGACTGCTTGCATGCATTTAATGTGTTGAAAGACAAGTTGATCACTGCACCTATAATCATGGCACCTGATTTTTCATTACCAATTGAACTTATGTGTGATGCCAGTGATTATGCTGTGGGGGTAGTCTTAGGCCAAAGGAAGGATAAACTATTGCATGTCATTTACTATGCCATTAAAATTCTTAATGAAGCACAAAAGAATTATGCTACTACAGAGAAAGAGTTATTGGCAATAGTGTATGCATTTGACAAATTCAGGTTATATCTGCTAGGGTCCAAAGTTATTGTTTACACTGACCATGCAGCTTTGAAGTATTTGTTAACAAAGCAGGATGCTAAGCCCAGGTTACTCCGATGGATGTTACTTCTGCAAGAGTTTGAAGTAGAGATCAAAGACAAAAAGGGAGTGGAGAACTTGGTGGCTGATCACTTATCCAGGATCACAGAGACACATTTACAAGAGGGTCCAGAGGTGGTGATCAAGGAAGAGTTCCCTGATGAGCAAATACTGGCCATAAGCATTATTTCCCAATTGGTGCATGATCAAGTCTTGTCTGTTGACACCCCACCATGGTTTGCTGATTTTGCTAACTACAGAGCTGTTGGAGCCATGCCAAAGGATTTCACTTACCAGCAGCGGAAGAAATTTCTGCATGATGTGAGGAGATACATCTGGGATGAACCATACCTCTTCTATAGATGTTCAGATGGAGTAATCAGAAGATGCATTCCAGAAGAAGAGCAAAAGAGTGTCTTATGGCACTGTCATGGTTCAGCCT